GACCGAAAAATTAAAGATGTTTAAAAAGTTTAGGGCAGATGGGAATAAATGTTAAATTTGTACTCCACAAATGAAATATCCAAATAATTTGGACACGACCTGCAGTAAATCCTAGTCTACAAACTCTTATTCTCCTAAAACTATTCTTACTGATTACTCAGGCCTCAAGCAGATGAAGTATTTCACTTTTCTTTGGAGTGGCCATGACTCTTCCTAGCCTCCTTTACAAGTGTCCATAGGAAATGCCAGGAAATCAGATACAAAAATCATTCCCACCTAACATCATGTCTCTGACAGTATTTCAGGAGCCAGAAAAATGTGCAAGAATTGTGTAAGAACGCAACAAGTTTCATTTTGACCGCTAATCAGAGATAAGCTCTAGATTTTTTGGATCTAATTCTAACAATTAATTTTAAAAGCATAATAATTATACAGATATTTAGAAAAAATCTGTACTTGTTATCATCTGTTCAGTTCCTTCTTTGGTCTTGTTTAATTCTCAGTCTCAACAACTTCCCATGGCAGATGTGCTTCACAGTCTAATTACACGACGAATGGAAAAGGATATCCTTTTAAATTGCTCCAGATTTTCTCATTTTTAACCTCGTTCATTCTCTGCCCGAGCTTCCTCCCCAATTCTTCTATCATGAGGACAGGCAGCATTGAAGCTCTAGTTCTACTGTTCCGATACCATTCGTACTTTACTATTATGCCTGCTCATTCAATTCCAAAGGTAAAATAGCTCAGCCTTTTCACGAGCAAGCTTTTCCATGCTTTTATGCGTTCTTGTCACCTCTCGTTAGAGTGTTCAAATAGCCTTTCTGAGATAGTATCTCAAAGGCAAAAAGAGATCATAAAAATAGCCAGCAAGGTTGTACCTCTGATTTATATAACAGTATTGTAAATTTTGATACCAACTAACCCATGCAGGTAAAAGAAACAACAAAAAAAAAAAGGCAGCATATCAAAATGCATTAAGGCAAGTTCACCAAAGGTCTTGAGAAACCTATACAAACATCCAAGGTGATGCAGTTAATTCAGACTCTTCCAAGACAGGCACACACATAAAGGTAACATTCTCCTGTTATACATGGTACATGCAAAGCAGTGATTTAATCATGTTACTCATTCACTCACAGAAAAAAACCCTACCCCTTTCAGACTGCAAAAGGAATCCGTTCTCTGCTAGGAGTCTAGTCTTACAAAATGCTCCTCAGGATCAAGACCTATGATGTATGTGGCAGTTAAGTGCCACTAAAAAAAGTTTCACATACCCAAGTAACGAAAGTAGACAATTTACTTGTGGAAAACAAGTAACAGTTCACATGATAACACAGATGGCGCTACCAGCGATGAGGGATAAAACCTAGTATTGCTGCTGTGGGATTCAAACCCATCTTATACGGTCAGGATTGAAAAAAAGCACAATCCTAACTTAACTCTTTTACAGTTGTAAGAGGGAACAAGGACTTTCATATATATAAGAATATAAATAATATAAGCTTGAGTGTCACAAATTTCTGTTCTCTTTTGTGCTCCCACAAGCCTGAAGGAAAAAAAAAATGGTTCAGGATGGTCCAGCTAATAGGTTCTCCCTGCAAAAACGATTCCAATTGTTCTACCATCATTTTCTGCTGCAACTTCCAAGGAGACAGGAAACAGCAAAGTACAGGTTTCATGCTGAGCCAGACATCCAAATGCCTCCTACCCTGCTACTCCCACACAGCCTAGTGTTTAGACCTCTGAGCGACTCCTGTCTAGGTTTAAGTCCATAGGGGGCAACACTGCAACTGGCATGTGGCCAACATCATCACAAAGGTTTTATACTACTGGTGTGCCTGCAACCTTAACACAATTTAGTTTTTCCAAAGGAAATGCTAAAGCTAATTGGCTAGTAGAATTTTGAAGTCACCATTTCAGTGGCTCGCAATACATTATAATTCAAAAGCAGAGCGCAAAGAAAGAGCCACCGTCTTGCTTTTAAAACTACCCAGGGAAACACAGTATTCTGAGGAAGTATCATTCTACGCTTGCTCTGTTCTCATACTCTTTTCCAAGGAACGTAATGGGATAAACGGACCTCAGGTCTGACTCAATAACGTTGCGTTTGCATTCGGGTAAAGGCCCAGTAAATCAGACTCTGGGAATTGACATTTATATTCTAACCCTAAATCACTTTGCTCCACAGAAGTCATCCATGTGCCCACCTTGATTCTGAAACAAATACCAAGTAATTCAAGGCAGAGCGATCCTCAGTTATAGCTGCTTTGCACTCTTCACAGGCAACCACAGGGGAGCACAGCAGATATAGACAAGTCCTATGAAGCAGCTGACAAATATAGGAACTTGTTCATTGGTCACAGTACCAAAAAAAGAAGGTTTTATTTGGAAACATAACTCAGGTACTCAAAAATACTTGGACTGTAGATGGTTGAGGAATTTGAAAAAAGTCTAAGTATCCACATGCAATTTAATTTAGAAAGCCAGGCTTACCGGCATGAAAGAAAAATTAATGTATGAAGACCATGAACAAAAATATTCCCAAACAGCTATTTATAGCTTTGACCTTTTAGATTTTCTGCATCACTAACTCAAGAAACAGTCTGCTGCCTGGGAAGCAGAGGTGAGTGAAAGGAGACCGATGCCAGCTTGCTAAAAGGGATCCCTTGCTATAAGGATGTTGTTAGCCTGAAATTTTAAATTTCCATAAAATAGATATTAAATAACTATTATTACAAGAAATCTGTGGAATTATTATAACATGTTTTTTGGAAGGGTGTGCGGTGGTGCGTCTTTTTTCAGTTTGTGCTTTACACTCTCGTCAACACTTAGTGCATAAATAATCAATTTCAACGCTCTGCTGACAACAGCATTTCATGTACTGTCCTGTCCAGCATATGCTTTTCTAGAGGCTGAAAAAAAAATGTTTGCTTCTAGCAGAAGGAAAGAAAGACTGGAAAGATAGCCAAGAATCTTGCACACAAAGGGTACAGATTATCACTGTCATCCCACCCTCTCTTCCCCGGAGGGTTCTTTAAGTGTTGGGGTTTTTTTTAATATCGTTTTAGGAACACTTAGGGCATTCTTCTGGAAGAGGAAATAATCTAAGGTTTGAGATTTCTTTTCTCCCCTTTTTTTTTTGGTCTTAAATTAAAGAAATCCCTTAAAACATTATGGGAGTAAAAGTATTTCAAAACCTGATAATATTGCTGGAATAAAGAAGTCAGGAAACGCTCCGTTTTAAACGCAGAGCATACGCTCTAGTTTTTGTTCTATAAAAAGTTTTGTGTTTTCAAACACTAAAGGGCTCAAGATCTTGTCTTGGAACAGGTATAAAACAGCAAAGATGATCACAGGAGGAGGAACTGAAAACACTGCTCATTTTAATTCCTAGAAGTTATGTAGTCCATGTATACAGTATTCCTATTTACATCTTCGTAATTATTCTTTATACGCACAGGCACACACAAAGAAAAACTGTGTGGAGCAGAGGCAAAGAACCCAGTAACAGGACAATCCTTAGGAGGAAGAGGTGCAAGAAGAAAGCTGGGTAGCTTGGCAGGGAGATGGAACTGGCAAGGGACTGGCACTGAGGTGCATTTCAAATAGCAGCAAGCCTGGCAATGTATTTGTTTCAGTTCCCATTTGATCAACTTGGCAAATGACAAAGCTACTGCATGGACAAACATCAGCAACAATTAAAATACTTCAGTAGCCTCAAGATGCTTTTAAGATTGAGGATTATGGTTCTATAAGAATTTCAAACACCAACATTTTGAAGGTAAAATAGGAGGCTTTTCTTAACCTTCTCAGCACCTGCAAATAAAGCGTTATATTGCGTATTGTTTATTTTTGTTGAAACATTCATGCAAGATTCTCTTTTAGAAACAAATCAGTATGTTTTCTTCCATTAACTTGTGATAAAAATTAAACTTCCAAAAAATGATATATTCTGTAATATCTACTTTGTTCTTACCAAACTCAATTCATCCAGTAAGCAGCATTTAGAAAGGAGCATGAGGTAAGTTTGCTGAACAGCTTTTGCTATATGAACACAATCTCTATGTTTATGCAATCTCTCACAGTAACATCTAAGCAACTAAAAAGCTATCATTTGATATGGTACAGCAAACTACTTCTAGGCCATAAGTCTCTGAATTCAATTCTACAGAAACAAAGTATTTTTTGTCAGTCTTTTTTCAACAGCCTCAGGCATCAATAATCATACCAACATGTCAAAGGACTCATTTGGAGGGAGTGTGATAGAAAGTAAGGGGAATTAACTGCAAGAAACATATCTCCCATTTGCAGTAATTTCTTGACTTCGGCCCTTAAGAAGCGAGCATCGGATATGCAGAAAGTGGCCAATAAATCCTCCCAAAAAAGGGCTACTGGTGGAACGGCTGAAGAATGGACTTGAGCACAGAATCATACATAAATGCCAAAGAAAAAAAGGACTCAATTAGGGTATATAAATCCAATGAAAGTGGTGATAGGCATGTATGCAGAGTGGCCCTAACAGGTAAGGACAGCAGAGTAAAACCTTTATTGAAGGTAACGAGTCAAAAGTGAAAAAAAATGACAAAAAGATGAGTAAGCACTGTTCATACAGAGCCTGCCAACTCAAGTTTTTGGCAATTTTTGTTTTATCCTAAAGCAAAAGGAAGGTATCCTTTCCATATCCATACAAATCACTTGTCTTTGACATGCTTTCAAATCACAAGACCAGCCCAGTTTTTCAGTTTCAAAATGAAACTAACTTTCAAGGAGAGAAAGAAGTATGCGTTACTGTCTGCAATCCCTTAAGTCATTTTAGGGCATCAAATACGGGGTCCTATAATACTTGCATAGCAGGAAGAAACAGATTCATCAGGAAACTGACAGGCAACAAAAGGCCTCAGTGGCACTGGTCCAAAGCTCACTATTTCAAGGCTTTGAAATATGAAAACTACACAACAGAAAGAACTACCAGCAACCAATCTTTAACCCCCGATTCTTACCTCAGCAGGTTTCTTTTGTTCATTTGCTGGTGTTTTTGACTTGCTCCTGTATTTAGAACAAGAAGAAAAGGAAGTGGAAGGACCTGTTTAAAACAGAAACAAAAACACATTATAGCTCATTTGAAATCATTTAATTGCTCAGTAAAACACAAGGCACTCCAGTCTCCTGAATTATCACAGTTCTTGACAAGACGTGGGCAAAACACTCTTATGCGGTGTGTAGGCTTGATTGCAGCTCCTCCTGTTCCACTTGTTCTTTGTAAAACCACAGCGCATTGATTTGAGAGGCACATTCTGCTCTGCCTGATACAAGTGTGAGTAACAGAAACAAACGTGTGGACCACCTTCCTTCATTTCCTTTCTATCAAAAGTGGAAGGAGAAAGAGCAAAAGTGAGGATAGAAAGCTTGCAAGTTCTGGAAAAACAAACAAAAGCAATGATATTAAAGCATGCTGAGGGGATATGCAAAGCAGTATAGTGTCATGTCTAGACATTTCTGGGCAAAATGCTAGTTCAGTACATGATGCATTGATGACTTGCAATAAACGTGAGAATGAATTATCATTATGTACAGAGGTATTCAACGGACACAGATTTAAAAGAAACAAACCAGACTACTGCCATATAGAGTTTTATACAGCTAAAATGGGAAGGTGCAACCTCAGCCAGACGTGTGCCAAGGAACTTTTAAAATATAACTTCACTAATGTATATAGCAGATTGAAGTTGAAAAGAGCAAGAACCAATATAAGAAACCCCAACAAGTGCATGCTCAAACAGCTCTTCACCTCCAGGAATTTTAAAGTTAAGGCTCTGCTCAGGACAAGACAACAGCACTGCATTCTATTTGTATTTATTTATTTATTCTCACAAAATAACCCTAACTGTATGAAAATTTCCTCTTGACAGTGAAAGTTGTCCTGAATCACAGTTATTTTTCTTCCCCAAATGTGAAAGGAAGAGATATACAAATTTCTCCTGAAATTGTGAATTCATAGGATTCTTAGCTTCATTTCCCTCCAGCAAAAAAGAGTTCAGAACACCGAAGACCACAGAATGCAAAAATAAAATGAAATCAAGCAAGAAACATTTTTTTTTAATTATAAGAGGTGAAACAGTTTGCCCTCAAACCACAGAAGGAAACCACAAGGGGGTGATAGACCAAAGAAAAACTAGTACATATTACTTACTCTCATTGTCTGAACTGTCACTGGTGCTTAGATGCCTGTGGCGTTTCATCCTGACGCATCCTAAAGAGGAGGGGGAAAAAAAAAAGTTGATGGCAACCATTCTACTAGGGAAAAAAATAAAAATCAAAGGCTGTGCAGATCCTGCTGGTTCACAGCAGTCTCATCACACAAAAGGCAGCATTCCTCTGAAGGACTTTAAGGCACATAAATAATCCAAGTTCGGCCAAGTTGTTTTATTTCTGTAAGCAACGAGTAGACCACAGTATTATTTACAAAACGAAGCACCCTTAAATTGGTGTGCCTCTGATGAGCAGAGTTCGCTTTAAATTTTTCAGAAAGGAGTGCAACCTGCCAGCTGATTCTCAGCACAGCCTTAGCAGCGCTCCACGAGGAGGAGACTCAACGTCCCATCTGTTCAGCCAAAGGAAGAGTTGCCATGGTGGCAGTTGCTAACTGAGAAATGGGTGGAGGCCTAGAAAGAAGATGGCTGCACAATGAGGCAAGGATTTAGAAATACAACTCACCTTAAAAAAAACAACAACAAAAAAAAACCTATGTAAATCAAAAGGCAGATTTTAAATAGAGATAATTAGAGCAAACGCTGACTAATGTCATTTAAGTCATCCGATTGCAGCTTAGTTCACAAAAAACGTGGCTTTCAAAAGTCAGAGAAGAGTGATCGAGTGCATCAGTGAGAAGCAATTCTGTGGTCCCACAAGAGTTTCACAACTAAGCATTGGGCTTTTCAAAATCTAAACATTTAAGACAGAGTGATGAAGAAAATTCTGCATCATTCCTTAAAACAGAGAGATCACACAGAGAACTATATATTCTAAACAAGTGCCCAAAAAAATCTATATATGTTCTAATCTATATATGTTCTAATATATATATGTTCTAATCTATATCAAAAAAATCTATATATGTTCATTCAGGATGATAGTACTACTTTTGTTAAATAACAACCAGTAACAGTTTACAAATTAATATAAAAGGAAAATTATCCCCGTCTTTTCAATGGATTGAATGTGCAAATCATTAGAGGAAAGAATTGAGGGGGGGGAAAAAAAAAAAAAAGATCCTGCAAGAGTAGGCAACAATTCAATTTTTTTGGAGCAGAAAACAGGCGCAGGCAGGCTACAAACTTAAGGATCAAAAACAGTTGCAGTAGTAGAACTGCCAGCCTGTCCACGTCTGAAACTTAAGAAGCTTCATTCCTTAAACAAAACAAAAACACATGCTGTTAAAAAAAAAAAAAACCATGAACAGCTAAATATCCATTTGATAAACCCTCCGTGTTGGTTACTGTACAACGGGTCTTGCGATTATCCAAAGCCCATGGGATAAAAAGGATCTGCAGATAAGAGAAGTCTGTCAGAAGGCTGTGAAAAGATTGCAAGGGAATTGTTTGCAGCAGGATTGCTTAATTTACTGGAAATTTTCAGCAGCCTTTATATTTAAGAGCCTACATTCACAGAATCTAAATGCAACGGTCAATTAAAGTTTAAAACAATTTATTTGCTCTACCACTTCAAAAAAAATATTTACCCACGCTTTTGGAAGTTGAAAAGGAAATGATGCCTATATTTTTCAACTAGGTATTTAAAAAACTTCTGAGTCAGGATATTTGACCTTTGCGGGGTAGGTGGGAGAACAGGACAGGATATCAAAAAGTGGCACTTGTATCACTTTGTAACTGAACTACGATCTCCCGTTATTTAAACATAAATTTCACGTCGATTCACCTTCCCACAGCTGAAACAACATGGCAAGGCAGCCATACTACACAGAAGTACAGCTCCCAAGAGAAGAGAGATGGGAAAAACAAAAAGCCCAAAACACTGCAGGATTTCACTTCCATCTAGCAATTTAACATGGCTTGTGCAGGCACCAGTCAGATCAAGAAATTTCCACAAATCTCTTAGGCAAAAGCAGCTTGACAGGTAGAAAGTACTTGAGCCAGACAGGCTTTTCTTTTAAAAAGTGTGGGGGGGGGGGCCTAGACTTTAAGTTAGCTGCTAGGTGATGAGGGAGAGAGTAGGAGACTACTTTCACCTTGCCAACTGGTGAAGCTGGAAGTGATGCGTTTTAAATCAAGAGCAGGTAAAATGGCATCGTCTGTTTGAGAGTTTAACCCCCCCGCCCAGAGCCCCGCTGTGCTCCAGCCGCCAAACGCAGCATCCTGAAGGACACGACCCTCCCTAAAAAGGAGCAGGTTGTGCCTATGGCAACACTTTCCCCACCAGCAAGCAGCCTTCAAGCTCTGAACAGCCCTGCTTTACAGACCTCCTGGGTGCACGGCAAGACCTTGGGAGAGGCTGAAAAGATGCACCTACAGCAGCACTCCCCATTTTCATTTCTTAGCAAGAAAAGCAAGGGCGCGCACTACTTGCTCTGTTTTTACGTTCAGATGAATTTCTGAGCAGTTGTTAAAAGATGTTGAAAGCTTGAGGCAGGCGTTTCTCATCTTTCCTAAGTCTATAAAAATATGCAGCAATAAAACCTTCTCACTCTGCATTAAGGACACAGCTATCCAAAGAATACAACGTGAACATTCAATTAAAATTGGTTTAAACATCAGGTTAAGAGATACAGCTGCAGAAGGGATCATCCAGGAAGCCTGCGCTTCTGCCTCTGTTAACTAGGAAAGACGGGGGGATGGCTACTTTACAGACAGCTTACATAAAAATGGCAAGTGTAACAGCTTTTAAAAAAAATTTAAGAGAAGGAAGTATACCTCTGACAACAACTCTACAGTAAAAAAAAACATTTAAAAATTTTATTTTGGAAGTGGATTTGTATCAGCTCAGAAAATAAATTTATACCTCCGTTCTAGCAAACAGAAGCTAAAAAAGTAGTCACTCAGGTTAACAACCCCATCTAGTAATAACACCGGATTCCAGCCTGATTTTTGCAGCAGTATTAACTACAATAGCCATGAGTAAACACCCACAGAGCTGCAACAAATCATGAGTACTGTGTTCAGGAAGACAGGTTATTAAAAAGATCAACATGCTACAAGTTCTACACATGTCCCTACAC